AAAACTTTAAAAGATTATCTGCTATAATCACATCGATCCACTTTAAATTCCTCTCTCTTAAACAAACCATCGTATACGTAACAACTTAAAAAAATTCCAAACATTACACAATGAATCCATCAATAATCCACTAAAGCAAGAATAAGAAGATCAAAGTCAAATCCACTTGGAAAATTCATCCCTCTTTACCAGCATCGATAAATCTTCGAGCAAAATACATAAGATCATAAAAGAAAAATATACATATATCCTAAGAAATATAAAACGAATCCATCAACGATCCATATTGTACGATCTCTTCTTTCGAAATGATCTCGAATCGCGTAATTCGCGCCATAATTTCGAGAAATGCACAATGTAATATCCGCGATGTTGCAGCACGTGAATTGGCCGAAATTCGTGTCACGATACTTGAGCAAAAATGATCACGTTTCTCGTTGTTTACCCGAACGGAATTAGTGTTTGTGTAGCGAGTGAGCATAACAGCTCATCTGGAGTACATTCAGGCCGGGCCGTAAATGAAACCAGTCGTGCCCGAGAATGTTCGATGCTAATTATAAATTCGGCCGACCATTCGAATCGCGAAAAGTCACGTAACCGTCGATGAATCGACGGGAGGATCGTCGCCGTTTAACGCAATTGGGGTAATTAAAATACTCGTCGATCCACGCGAGGACGATCTATTCGCGATCTAGCGCACGATTGTGAATAATTGATCACAGCCGAACTCCCTCTGACGCGATATTTACGCTGAAAATGCCAGCTAAAATCCCATTTGCGATGAATCACTGAACTTCTTGCCGGCGTTAATGGACCGTAACGATCTTCGTTTCTCTCGCATAGATTTTTCTCCCTTTCATCCTTTTCTTTCATTTTTTTTTTTTTCTTTGATGTTGAATAGCGAAAGAGGAAGGTAAAGTTTATCGTAATGAGAAATGTATTATAATATTCTCGTCGAAGATTTTTATTTGGATTTTTATTCGATGAATTTATGAGATAAATTAATTGCAAAGAATGTTTTTTTTTATTATATATATATATTTATTTAATAATATGAGTTTTTGATTTTAAAATATCTTCCACATAATTATTTTCAAAATGTAATTATTATTGGTTAATTTTAAATGAATCAGTGAAATCAATAATAATGAATAATATGATTCGAAACATAATTATTATCGAAACATAATTATTATTAATTAAAGATTAATAGATAAGTAATCGTGCAATTAATTTAATAATTCTCAAACTTCGATTTATGAAAAATTAAACGAAGAATAAAATAATTTTTAAAAATTATTTTATAAGTTGTATAAATTATTGAACGAAATAATCGGAGATATAAAGGAATGTAAAGATTCTTTACAGTTTCACGAGAGAAAAGCTCTCTTTAGTTGACACAATCATACTTTTAATTAAAATCACTCATTATTCCACCTTTTCTATTTTTCTTCAATTCAAGCAGCTATAAGAAATCCCCGTTGAGTTAAAGAAGGGGACATGTGATTTAATTATATCATCCGTAATAAACAATCTCTGTCACTAATCTAGATCTCACCGATATAGAACTAATACTAATATCATTCTCTATTGCGTGTAGCATATCGTTCTAATGTTTCTTATCTAACAATAGAATTTAATAATCTTTTAAAAGGAATTTTTAAATCCTAATTTTAATCTTATTTTAAAAAATAAAAACATTTTTATTATAAAATTATCAAAATTTGAACAGAAAATCATATTGACAATAATTCTTTCATATTTTTAAAAATAAATGCAATCTAATCCAATTTTTTGTTCATTGTGTATAATATTTTTTTTAAATTTAAACCTCTATTAAAATATTAATTCCAAAATTAAAATTAAATAAACTAAAAGATTTAGTTTCGATTTATTATAATATAAAAATAAACTGAATACGAGATTTGATCTATTTTAAATTTAATTTTATTAAATTAAAAAAAAAATTCAAGCATTTATCAATTTCTTAGAACTGTTACGAAATTAGATTGAAAAATCACAAATTTTGTGCAGAAGACGCGTAATATATAAATTGCAAGTAATCAACAAACCAATTACACATTGAAATTATGAAAGAGATTTACTACGATCGAAGAAACAATAAACAAGTTTCTCTGCATTAATTCAGCTGTTCTGTTTTTCTCTCTCTAATTAACGGATTCACCACTATGGAACTTATTATTTCTTTATTTACAATGCATACAATTCTTGGAAACAAGGTTTGTAATAGAATCTTATCATTCGAAATATCAAAAAAACGAGGTGATGAAGAAGGAAATCGATCGTTGTTACCACGTCACAAGAGATTCGTTAAAAAAAAAGTCATAATATTCGATTCTGAAGCGAAAAAGCGGAAGAAAGAATGTCGATTATGTAACGATAAAACAAGTCGCAAGAATAGCGATGGATTTTTCTTTCTAGCTTCCCTTTCTTTCATTCTTTCTTTAAGCCGCATCTGCCAGTAAAGAAAACAAGCGATATTCGAGGAAAAAGGTGACTCGAGAAAAAGGAAACGGGGTCTGGATTAGTGGTGGTGAAGGACGATATGAAAAAAGGACAGTCTTTTAATTTGATTTCTCGCAAAAAAAATTCGATTACTTGACAACTACTTTACTCTGTCATAACGTATAATCACAAATTATGCGCGTGATCGAAGAAAAATAACGATTGAGAGAAGTAAATAATAGTCGAGAGATTCGAGTCGAAATTAGAATAGAAGCGAATAAATTTAATGATTCGCAAGTAAGTATACATATATTTTCTTTTTTATTGAATATTTTTAGAAAAAAAATTATTTTCAAATAGAAATCAGAAGAATAAATTCTTTTTTTATGATTTAAATTCTTTGAAAGTGAATATATAGGTTAGAGAAAAATAATTATCTCATATTTTATTGTTTAAAATATATATAATAAACGAAATAAATAATATTTGAAAAAATACTTTGAAATAAAAGAAAAAAATAATTGTTATAAATGTTATTTTCAAATTATAATTTAATTTATTTGAATAAGCAAATGATTGTAAAAGTTAACCTAAATATATTCACGTACATTTTTGCACCGTGAATTATAAGATACATTTTTTTTTTGTTGCAATTATATATCATTTTTCATGGATGTTAACTGTATTTTCAACAAGTTTAAAACACATATGTGAAATATTTGTTGAAATGAAATATCATTACGCGAAACATACTCGTTGAAGCTATTAAATAAACATTGTAGTATGCAAACTGTTGCTAATTAAACGATGTTTGGCATGGTTTTTCACAAGTATACGTTAAAAATAAGAGGAATAAGGATATGATCATATTATTTAAACTTTTTGTAAAATTGAAATATCACTTACCTTAATTCGACTTCATGTAATTAGATTAAACTCGTAAAATCATATAACGTTTAAATACAATTTTATTATATTTTCAATATATTATTATATTATTATATTATCATATTTTTAGTTGTATGTTCAGTTATATAATATATATAATTTAGAGAACGAACGAATTTTAATTGTATCATTTAGATGGCTATTAATGAATCTTTTTAAATTCAGAAATCTATTATTATTCCTTCGTTTTTTATTCAATTTTTTACAAAATTAATTTCTAATATTATACACTTCATGATTTTGATCCTGGCACTTTCAAAACACAATTTTCACAATATAAAGATGAAAAATTAACACTTAGAATAGCACAGATAATACTTTACTGTCATATTGTTACATAACGATCTTATTTATGATGTGAAAATTTCAACCAATAGGCGTTCTTATTTTAGAATTAACCAATTAGATTCGTATTTTTTCCTGAAACTAGATCTTTCAGTTTTTATAATAAATTAGTAAATAAAAATTAATTTATATATCAATTACATTTTTTACACAATTAATAATATTTTGATCGCACAATATTTTTTATTTATATATATCATTTTTCTAAATTAATAATGAAATCACGAATAGAATGTTAAATGTATTGGATTGGTTATTGAAAGTTCTAGAAATTGACGTAGAAATCTGATTGGTAGATTTAAAACTCAAGAATACGTAGCGTTTCAAGTCTCAATCTTAGTCCATTTCACGGTGGAAAATTATTTTGTAAGATTTCCCAAAAGATGATAAAAATGATGATATAACATTAAAGACATATTTGATGAGTATATATTTATATGTTTAGTGTTATATTTAATAAATATAGTGATATATAATATGATAATATAATATATATTTTGATTGCACAATATTTTTTATTTATCTACATTATTTTTCTAAATTAATAATGGAATCACGAATAGAATGTTAAATGTATTGGTTATTGAAAGCTCTAAAAATTAATGCAGAAATCTGATTGGTAGATTTAAAACTCAACGATATGTAGCGTTTCAAATTCAGTCTTAGTCCATTTCGTGGCGGAAAATTATTTTGTAAGATTTCGCAAAACATGACATGATAAAACATAACATAAAAGTGACATGATAAAAGTAACATTAAAGACATATTTTATAAATATATATTTATATGTTTAGAGTTATATTTGATAAATATAGTGATAATATAATATGATAATATAATATAATATATATTTTGATCGCACAATATTTTTATTTATCTACATTATTTTTCTAAATTAATAATGGAATCACGAATAGAATGTTAAATGTATTGGATTGGTTATTGAAAACTCTAAAAATTAATACAGACATCTGATTGGTAGATTTAAAACTCAACGATATGTAGTGTTTCAAGTTTCAGTCTTAGTCCATTTCATGGCGGAAAATTATTTTGTAAGATTTCGCAAAAGATGATAAAAGTGACGATATAACATTAAAGACATACTTTATAAATATATATTTATAAATATAGTGTTATATTTGATATGTATAGTGATAATATAATATGATAATATAATATATATTTTGATCATACGATATTTTTTATTTATCTACATTATTTGCGAATAGAATGTTAAATGTATTGGATTGGTTATTGAAAGTTCTAGAAATTGACGCAGAAATCTGATTGGTAGATTTAAAACTCAACGATATGTAGTGTTTCAAGTTTCAGTCTTAGTCTATTTTGCGGTGGAAAATTATTTTGTGAGATTTCGCATAAGATGATAAAAGTGACGATATAACATTAAAAACATATTTTATAAGTATATATTTATAAATATAGTGTTATATTTAATAAGTATAGTGATAATATAATATGATAAGTGTGAATAAGTAACGTGATAAATCAGGGTGATTCAGCAGATTTGAAGGTTAAGGATGGTGGCAAAAAATATGAATTCGAGATAGGAAAAATATTCGTAAAGGTACGTACTAAATATATTAAATAGAATATTTTATTTTTCTATCGAAATACTTGACTCGTTGATAAAAAAAACTTTCTTTGTGCTGAAAATATAATTGGTAATTTAAAAATATGTTTTTTTTACTTCAAAGAAGTTAAATTTATTCATTAATGCTACTTTTATTTTGATGATTCGTCAAAAAAAGAAAATATAATATTTCTCTTGTTGTATATATAAATGAAAAAGCTTTTTTTTTTTATTATTCATTATTGAATCGTGCGATTTACGCAGCATAAAAATAATAATCGGCTTGTCACGAATAAATTGCTTAATTCAATCTTCGATCTCAATATTCTACGAATATATTCATTGTCAGACGAAAGTGAAACATCGGTTTACATCGAACAAAAATATCGCAAAAATAGAACATGTATTATAAACGATGATGGATAACATATGGCTATCATAAGCAATTCTCACAGAAAGTCTATGATAATTAAAAAAAAAAATATTAATTCAGTTTGCATTTCAAATTTGAAATATGATTTTCAAAAAGAATTCATTTTTGAAACATTTGAAAAATTTGGAGATTAAATTTTAGTTTTAATATAATTTTGGCAGAATTAGTAAAATTTTATTTTTGGTACATTCAGTTCTTTTCATGTTTTCATAATTTTTATTTATTATATAATATCTAATTAAAATTCTACTTTTCATATGCAATATCGATCACAAAAAGATTAAATTAATCGAGACAAAATCAGTTATATATCAAGGTTAGGTAGTCTTTGAGATTTGAACAGATAAGATGAGATATGAAACAGAAAATTCTAAAACATAAATTATAAGATAATATTATTCTTTGAATCAAATGATATCTATTTCATCTTATCAATTCGAAATTAACTATGTCGAATCTATAAATATATATATTCAGCATTTCAATCAATCCATATATATCATATATCCGAATCCAAAATTCTCAAAATAGATACTAACATGTTTCAATAGATCTATATTATAATTTACTAAATTCTTTAAAATCCAGAATGATCAATATCATGTTCTAACATGCCTTTGACAGTCTATATTCTAAGAATTCAAAGTATTCTGCCTTTAAAATTAAACTATTCTCAAACATCAAAAATCTATGATATATATTTCAAAATATACTTCGATAATATAATCTAATTCAAATCTAATCTAAACTTAACCTAAAAATTTATGACAGATCTATCAGACTTCCAAAATTCAATGATAGCTTATATTGAATTTCAACGTTTAGATATGTATGTATGAGAATTTATCGATTTATAAAAACTTCTATGATATTTCATCAATTCAGGATTATCGATATCAAGCCTCTCGTGGACATAATTGTTTATGTCGACCTTCAATAAGATAGTGGTTATTCGGAACGTATTCTATGAATTTAGATTAACTTGTGTCAGCTATACCTGTGATAGTTTAAATCAAATCTTTGCAATCATCTACTCTTCAATATCGATCTAATCATGTCTCTAACAAGTAGCAGGATTCTGTGTAACACGATTTCCAATTTTATCTATCCGTGTACGAATCTACGATTTGAAGGTTGTCGATATCGCATTCTCGATTCGCATTCGTAACACGAGTTCGTTTTTTCTCGCATGCGAAGTTTTAAATGACTTTTTTATAAATTATATCATGAATGTAACGAAGTAGATATCTTTGTAGATAATTCTTCAGAAAATTCGTCTATCAATTGCAATAGATTTAATTGAACAAATTTTTAATTATTAATTGTTAAAAGAATTTCTTAGAAATTTTGAAGATAATAGAAAAGGAATTAATATTTTTTTTATTTAATTAATTAAGATAATATTTCTTAAATACTAGTTGAGGATTAATATATAATTATTATGAATGAAAAACATTATTTCGAATTCTCTTTTATAATTTTATCTTATATTAAGTTCATTGAGATAAGTTCTTCTCTAAAATAAATTCTTGCAAAGGATTTATATTAGCAAATTGTAATAGATTTATAAAGAATCCTTTATAAATCTTTCATTGCTACTAGAAAATTTTATAAAAAAAATCAATGTTGTAATAATATCTTCACCATTCGAAAAATCTATTATTAAATTTAACGTCAAGATATTAAATTTTCAAAATATCAAGTAGGATGAGATAGGATGAACATACAAATAACGTATCTTTAAAAACCTTTGAAGATATTTTTTTGCTTTGTACGTAAAATTATATAAAAATTTTATTATAATTTCTAATTTAGAATTTTCAATTTTCTTCAAAAAAAGTCATATTTTATAGAATTACAAAGAGATTATTTTCAATGTATTATATAATTTCGAACGTAAAAGAATTGAATAATGATACTTTAGTGAAACTCGGAGGAAGTTTCTGTTCTTTCTGTCAGATTAATTACGGATTTTTACGGATCTTTAATAGGATCTGTCGTACTCTGGTATTTATACTTGTTGAAAAGGGACTAGTGTAACAAAGAGAGAGCTGGCTATAATATTTCGTTGTGAGAAAATGAGAATAAAGAAAAAGATTAGCAATAAAAAGTATTTTCTTACTTTTATTAACGAATCGATAGCTCAAATATTTAAGATCTTATTTTCAAAATATTAAAAATAAGTATTAAAAAATATAAAAATTAAGAAATTAACTGGAATTATAATAGGTTTCTAGATTTAAAATCTTTGTTGACAATTTAAATAAAAAGATAATTTTAAAATTAAAAATTTAATAATAATAATAAAGATATATTGAAGATAGGATAATTTATTTTCAAGTTAATAATTTTTTCAAACAATTCATTATTTGGAAAAGTTATTTATTATTTTTATTGCAAATAAGAAATTCTATATTAGAGAATTCTATATTATCACGCAAAGATTGAAATGAAAATAAAATTCAAATGAGTAAAAAACGTGATTCGAATTATAGAGAAACAATCTTTCTTTTCTACGTTTTCTTTTGTTCGGATTAACTAAGACTGTTTCGAGATATCAAGTTTTCAAGATTTTAAAAAATTTTTATTCTTATTTTTAGATAAAAGATAACAAATAATTTAAGTTGATACTAAAATACTGTAATGTAGAAAAGATAGATGTTAAAATATTTCAAGTACTTCATTTATTGGAATACTCAAATACACTTGAATTTCCACTTCAATTCGAAAGCTTTAAAATTTCCAATATTTTCTCTCCACGTTCCTTCTCGAAGATAAATCATACCGCAATTTTATTCTTCACTAACAATACAAAAATTACAGAACTGAAGATACTCAATAGATTTTCGCTTCGTTTCACGATTCTCTACATTCGATTCGAGATAAAATCGTGTATCAAAAAATCTATATCATCTAGTTTCATATTCAACCTAATCTCTTCGTGATTCTTAAAATATAATTCTATTATCTCTTTCATATAAAAAAAAAGTCTTTGCAAATGAAAGACTCCATGTGCATTAGATACAATAAATTACAATATAATCTTTTCATCGAATTGAAAAATTTGAAAAAAATTTCGATACTTAAATTGAATATTAAAAGTTTTAAAAACAATTGCAAAATTAAGTACAATCTAACAATAGAAAGAATCCGTTAGAGCAAAAAGGGAAAATAAGAATCAAGATTCCATGATTTGGTTTTCTTTGAATCGACGAATATTAATTAAAACGCGATCCACTACCGGTTGAAATTGATTAATTAACCGTGAGACAGGATGCGACAAAGTTACGCGTGAATTCGATATAATCGTGGTTTGATCTGCTCAATAATTCAGCACTGTTTCGATTCGGATAGGAGAAGTAAATTCAATCGTTACTAGGGTGACCGCGAAGGGTGCAAGGGGCCCATTCTCTATTCGATACGGATTGTTTGCGTTTGACATTTGGGGGACGAAGATTATGGATGAAGTGGACAATCGATGAGGGTATTAGGGGAAAGGGTTGACGTTTCGTGGACGAGTAATCGAATGATTTCTCTGATAGTTAAAGCAATCATTATGTTAAACTCGATATTTAAAAACGTATGCCAAACAGTTAAATAAATTTTATGAAATATAGATTTTAAATTTTGGTGTATTATATCGTTTTTGCATGAACACAAAAAAAAATGTTTTTATAATAAATAATTGATAAAAACAGTTTTATCTCTAAAAAGAAAATTGAAAATTGTCTGTACAGGATACATTTGGAATTTATTATGAAAATTTGCGATATTTTTATTAAAGATTTTGAAGAAGAGTATAAAAGTATAAGTAATATTCTGGAATCGATTGATTGCGTTTGACATTTGGGAAACGGAGATTATGGATGAAATAGATAATCGATCGAAGGGAATATCAAGGGAAAGAGTTAACGTTTCGTGTTTATAGATACGTGAGCAGGTGATTTCTTTGATAGTTGGAGCAAACATGATTTGGAAAGCATATTTTTTGAAAGCCTGTGATCTTTTTGAGAATTTTTGAAGATGGATCGAAAATAACTAACTTTGAACTTTAACAAATTCAAATGAAATTTTTACTTTTATTTCTTGCCTATGTTTATCGAGGAATACAAGTTCTTAAAATCAATATTGTTTGTAAAAATCTTTAATTTCGAACAAATTTATTTACCGTTTCTGCAATTTGAAGTGAAACGTGTCCAATTTTAATTGGAATATTGAAAACTCATTTGTCTTATTAAAATAAGACTCGATGTTGGAGATTTAACTTGTATTTAGCAGCTTCTCTAGAGGGTTTGGAGAAAGTCGTGAAGCAGAATTTCTATCTTAAGGTTGCTGGATGAATTGTTAAATGAGATTTTCCCATGGTTACTTCACAGAACTTGTAAAGTCAAAGTTTTTGCGGTTATTTGAAGCGAAGATTGAAGCTGAAAATTTCTACTAAAGTTTAGACAAGGAGTAAGATGAAAGTTCCTTTCTAACAAATTCGTGTTACGTGTGCATACTTTTGAAATTTTATTCTCTTTTGATTCTTCTCAAGCTTAATTTTAATTCACAATATTTCGTGA